GATGTTTTTGGCGTGTTCGCCTTTTGGGCTTCCACTGCGTCCAAGACGGCCCAAGAGGCACCCAAGCCGGTCGAGGATGCCCCCAAGAGGGCCCCAAGACGGCCCATGAGGGGGCCAAGACGGCCCACGAGGCGCCCAAACCGCTCAAGAACGCCCCAAGGCGGTGCCCAAGACGGGGACGAGGAAAAGGAAATTCGCGCCTTCTGACCCAAGAGACCCCCAGGAGACCCCAATAGGCTCCAACAAGCGCCCAAGAAGCCCCAAGAGGCCCCCATGAGACCCGAAAAAACACTAAAAGAGGCCCCGAAGACGCCCCAAGAGGCAACCCAATAGAGCCCCAAATAAGCAAACACCGTCGATTTCCCATCGGGAAGCTGATGTTTTTGGCGTGTTCGCCTTTTGGGCTTCCACTGCGTCCAAGACGGCCCAAGAGGCACCAAAGACGGTCGAGGATGCCCCCAAGAGGGCTCCAAGATGGCCCATGAGTGGGCCAAGACCGCCCAAGAACGCCCCCCAGGAGCCCAAGAGGCCTTTCCGGGGAGCCTCCACAGCGCCCCAGGAGGGCCCAAGACACCTCCCAGGAGCCCCCAGAATGCGAAAGGATGGTCCAACACGCTCCCAAACAGCCCAAGTCAGCCTTCCGACGGCTCTCGAGGTTCCAGGAGACCCCAAGAGAGGTCCGAGAGGCGTCCCGGGACGGCCCGAAGAGGCCAAAATCGTTGATTTTCACATGTTTTTTCAACGTTTTTGGCTTCTCGCGTTTTCGAATGGTCCAACCAAGAGATAAGGACGGCCCCAAGACGAGCCAAGAAGGCTCCAAGACTGCCGAAGAGGTGCCCAGGACAGCCCCAGACCACCCCAGAACAGGCCCCAAATGGGCCCAAGAGCGGGAGCAGGAGGCTTCCAGAGACCTCCGAGAGGCCTCCGGGACCCCCCAGAGGCCCCCAACACCCCGGATCCCTGAGAGGCCCCAAAAATACCCTTACGAGGCTCCAAGAACAGCCCAAGAGAGCTGCGAGAGCCGTCCCGAGAGAGCCCAAAGAGGGTAAAATCGTTGATTTCCCATGGTTTTTTCTTATGTTTTTCGCCTTCTCACGTTTTCCCGTTTTCAATCCTCGAAGATCGACATTTTTTTGAGGAAATAAAAAGGGAATTCCCAGAATTCCCCTTTTTTTTGTTCAAAGTGGGACTCCGACTCGGAGATCCCGCACATCCCCTGACATCTGGCGGGTACCGCGCCTCCCGGCTTCCCGGGGGGCCCCCAAGACGCCCAAGGACAGCCCAAGACGACCCCAAGGAGCCCCCAGAACGTAAAGAACGGCCCAACACGCTCCCGCGCAGGCCGAGACACCCTTCCGACGGCTCTCCAGGCCTCCAGGAGGCCTCCAGAACCCCCAGGGGGTCCGGAAGATCCCACACCCCTGAGGGGTTCGGCTAACAAAACCCGCGAGGCACAAACAAAAAACAGCGCCGAACAGCGCCGAGGAACTGTAAAAACGTGGAAACATTTTTTCGTTTTGTTTTCAAGTTTGGCCCCCCAGTCTACTCTTGCACAACAGACCACAATTCAGACCCCCTTCACCTCTCCCCCCAAAAAACCCAGGAAGCCTTTGAGGGCCCCAAGTCGTTAAATACCTAAAGGAAATCAATGATTTCTGCGTTTCCTCACTTTCCCTTCCATACGATTCCGAGGCTTGCGCAGGGCCTCCAAGGGAGTTCTTGGACGCAAGAAGCGACCAAAATGACATTACATGAGTTGGTCGATGAAGCCTAGCTAGAACTTGAGCGCGCGAAGCGCGCGCGATGGTTCTGGTATATGTGTATACGTGCATGTATATGTATGTGAATGTGTATGTGTTTGTGTATATGTATACGTAAGTTGATCTACATTATATGCATACATGTATGTATATATGTATGTATGTATGTATGCATGTATGTATGTATGCATGCATGCATGCATGCATGCATGCATGCATGCATGCATGCATGCATGCATGTCTGTCTGTCTGTCTGTCTGTCTGTCTGTCTGTCTGTCTCTCTGTCTGTCTGTCTGTCTGTCTGTCTGTCTGTCTGTCTGTCTGTATGTATGTATGTATGTATGTATGTATGTATGTATGTATGCATGCATGCATGTATGTATGTATGTATGTATGTATGTATGTGTATATATATGTATATATATATATATATACATCTGTATATTCCTCTTCCTATATTTTTACAAGCCCGGGCGGGGGGAACACCCGTCACCCCCCCCCACAACCGGACTCCGGGGATCTGGGGATTTGGGATCCTTCGGACGGGCCTCGAAGCAGCCCCCCGGGCCTCGCAGGGCGTTTTGCCAAGCCTTCGCAGCACACCTAGGGCGATCAGGGGGGTCATCGGAGACGTCCCAGAGAACCCCAAGACAGCACAAGAGCGCTCCAAGCAGCCGTCATACCCCGAAAGATCGCTCTAAAGCGTACCAAGAGGCCTCCAAGAGCACCCCCAAGAAGGCCCCAAGAGGGAATAATCATCGATTTGATGTGGGTTTTTAGTGAATTTCGGGTTCTCCTCTTTTTGGCTTCCCGACGCTCCAAGACAGCGGTCTTCTGGGCGTCCGAAGTGGCCTGGGAGGCTCCAAAATCGCCGCGCAACCACCCGAAAGGGCTTCCAGGCAGTCCAAGAGAGCCCCAGAACGGCACAACAGGGGTCCAAAATGGCCCTAAGAGAGCCCCATGGCGGCCCAAGATGGCCCCAAGACACTCTCCGAAGCATTCCAAATCGTGACCGGGGCGTACAGGGAGACTGCGGTTAGAGGCAGGTTGACCTTAGGAAACCGCAGAGGCCCCCAGAACACGTCCAGGAGGCCCCCAGAAGGCCTTAAGAAAGCCTGAGAACTTTGGTGAGGCCCCCAGAGGCTCTCCAAGGAGGAGCCTCCGCAAAAAGAGCTGAGGAGGATGGGGAGAATACCCAGGGCACGGCGAGAATGAGGAAAAATAAACATGGAGGATGGATAGCGAACAACATTATTATAACGGCGATGCCAGAAAAGGCAGCAAGGAGTTACCGCAAAATTGTCCGCTTGACCTTCCTGCCATTTCCGCCTGCATACCAATCTTCAAGGACCAAGGTGCATGGCGCGAAGCGCCACTGCAGTCTTGGGTATATATATATATATATGTAGGTATATGTGCATGTATATACATCGGCATATGTTTATGTGCATGTATATGCGTACATACTATATTCATTTGTGTATAAGTATATATATATATATATATATATATATATGTGTATGTAGATGTATATATATACATAGGTATTGGTGTGTACATATATGTTCATGTATGTGTTTACGTATATGGCTACGGCATTGTACAGGTACATGTATATGCATGTGTGTGTATATGTATATGTTTATGCATACGTATATGTATACGTGTATGTATATGTGTATGTGTGTAGATGCATGTTCATGTCTATGTAGATGTGGATGCGAACACGCATGCATATCCATACGTAAATGTATATGGATACGCATATGCACATGCTTTAGCATATTCATATGTATATGCATATGTGTAAATGTATATGCAGTGTCTATGCATATGCATGTGTGTATGTGTATGCATATTGATACGGAAAGATATAGTGACATGTATATGTATCCGTATACGGATGTGTATATGTACGTGGATTTGGATATGGATATGGCCATGTATATGGACATGTCTATGGGTATATATGGATGTGGATCTGGGTATTGATACAGATATGGGTATGGATGTGGATATGGACATGGACATGTATAGTGATATGTATTTGTACATGTATATGTCCATGCATAGGTATAAGCATATGTTTTTGTATATGTGTATATCTGTATAGATTATTTGTTTATGTATTCATATGTACATGATTATGATTATGTATTCGTATGTGTATATGTATGCTTGCATGAAAATCTATGTATATATACATATTTACATTTGTAAGTATTGGTATAGGTATTTGCATACGTGTATGTATATGTTTATGTATATGCCATGAATCTGTATATATAGGTGTGTGTGTGGATATGTCTATGTATGTTCATGTGTAGTTGTTCATGCTTGTGACTATTACATGTACATGTATGGGTTCATGTAGGTGTTTATGTATAGGTATACATGTTTGTATGTATGTATGTATGTGTGTAACCTATACTGAATTGGGCGCGCAATCCTACAAAAGGGATTGGGAAGATGGGGTGGTGCACGCAGGTGGGCGCGGCGAGCGGGGGGGGGGTCTCTTGGAAGATCATAGAAATTCTGCCAAACATCACCTGGCATTCTAGCACGCCTCAACGTGCCAGGGGCACGGTGGTGGATGTTGCTGGCATTGAAGCGGGAGCACGATTCATGAATCATTTGTGAGGGCATCTCAGGCGAAACCGCCGCCAGACCGATACCGGAACGGGCGGTTTCGGGCTCCGTCCGTCCTGTGGGAATTGTCAGTGGCCCCTTTTTCCAATCCCGGGAACCCTCTAGCGAACGCTGTCAGGGAAAGATGCAGCCGAGACAGGGGTGAGAGCCGACATGAGTCTGTAGCCGGCTAGGAAGCCCTGAGAGAAATACGCAGCCGGGACAGGGGTGAGAGCATGGCCACGTGCAAGCCAGTGTTTTTCTTACAAGGGATCGTGGAGTAGTCGTGGGGGGGGCTTTTGGGGCTCTCCTGCGACTCTTCTGGGGGGGGGCTTTGGGGCCTCTCGGGGCCTTACGGGAAGCAACGGGCAAGCCCTCTAACATCTAGTGCAAACACGTTTCAAGTTGCGAAGGTGCCAGGTTCCCTCCTCCCTGTTTTTCAAGGTTTTCTGGCAGTGCCCCCCCCCCGGCCCATCGCTGGGGCCCTCGCCTCCAGCATGCCCTCCTGTGGGGCCGCCGCTGGGGCTGTCGTCGTCGTCGTCGTCGTCGTCGTCGTCGTCGTCGTCGTCGTCCTCGTCGTCGTCGTCTGCTACTCTCTGTGGCCCTTCCTGTCCAAGCTTCCTTTGGTCAGCGTGGCTGCGATGCAGTATGTTAGGAAACAAAGTTCCCCACAGCGCCGCGCTCGTCTGCACTGCTGTCAGCAACTATGGAAAGGCGAAGCAGTGGATCCGGGCACTGGAGTCCTTCCGAGATGCGCTTCGGTCTTGTATGCAAGCGGATGTCATTCTGTACAACACCGCCATCAGCGCCTGCGGAAAGGGCAGCCAGTGGCAGCAATCGCTGCTATTGTTGACCGAACTGGGCGAGGCATCGCTGCAGCCAGACGTCATCAGTTGCAGTGCCGGGATCAGTGCCTGCGAAAGAAAAGGACGGTGGCAGCACGCGCTGTCGCTCCTGAGGGAGATGTGGGAATCAAGCCTGGAACCGAACGTTTTCAGCTGCAGTGCAGGAGTCAGCGCTTGCGAGAAAAGCACGCAGTGGCAGCACGCCATGTCGCTGCTGACGGAGATGTGGGAAACAACTATATTGCCAGATGTTGTCACCTACAACGCTGTTATCAGTGCTTGCGAGAAGGGTGGTCAATGGCAGCATTCGCTGTCGCTGTTGGATGATTTGTGGGATGTGAAGCTTGAGCCTGGCGTCATTAGCTTCAACGCTGGAATTAGCGCATGTGCTCGTAGTGGCCAGTGGCAGCGGGCATTATCATTAATAGATCATATGGTGGGAGCAAGCGTAGAGCCAGATGCCACCAGCTACAATGCGGCAGTCAACGCGTGTGGGAAAGGCGCACAGTGGCAGCAGGCGTTGGCGATGTTAAGGGAAATGTCGGAATTGAAGTTGGAGCTTGATGCTTTCAGTTGTAGCGCTGCTATATGTGCATGTGAGAAGGGTGATCGGTGGCAGCAGGCGCTTTCGTTGCTCAGGCAGATGCAGGAGGCCGAGGTGTTGCCGGACGGCTTCAGCTGCAGTGCTGGAATCAGCGCGTGCGAGAAGAGCTCGCAGTGGCAGCAGGCGCTGTGCTTACTGACACATCTGGGCAGAGCGAAGATGGAGCCAAACCTCGTGTGCTGCAATGCCGGGATCAAGGCGTGCGAGAAGGGCGCGCGGTGGCTCGAGGCCCTGGCCCTGATGCGGGGCATGCTGGCGCTGAGGCTGCAGGCGGACAGCATCAGCTACGGCGCAGGGGTCAGCCTCTGCGAGAGGTGCGGGCCGTGGCAGCACGTCTTGTCGCTGCTGAGGGAGATCACTGAGGATAAAAGAACCCCTGACCTCAATCAGCGATGACGACGTAGCCTCACTCAGGTCCCTGTCTTCGCATTAGGGATCAAAAACAAAACAAATAATTGTGGGCTGTTTGGTTCGATGCGCCTGCAGAAAAGGCTCCTGCGCCTGATGTTCCTGGCCCTCCTAATTTGGGTCCCTTCCCAAAGGGTTAGAGGTCCTTTTCCCAGACATGCGATGTCCTGATTGTTTCAGGACGGCGTCCCCAGAAGTCCAGACCCTTTCCCCAGGGCCAGATTTTCATCCCGAGTCGTTTCTTTGACGCTCCTGGGGCCCGGCGAGTGGTCCCCCAGGGGCGGAAAAGAGAGCGACGCACTTGCCGTCCTGATCCTGCAGCGACACGACCCTGTCTGGGCCTCGGCCCCTCAGGAGATGTGCGAGGCCGGGCTGCCGCTGGACCCCGCCTGCCGCAGGCGCATGAGCAGGAGGAGGAGGAGGAGGAGGAGGAGGAGGAGGAGGAGGAGGAGGAGGAGGAGGAGGGGGAGGAGGAGGAGGAGGAGGAGGAGGAGGAGGAGGAGGAGGAGGAGCAGGAGCAGGAGCAGGAGGAGGAGGCCTGCCGCAGGGCCGGTGTCGGCGCCTGCGAGCGGGGCGGGCAGTGGCGGCAGGCGGCGCCGCTGCTCGTGGGCGCGCCGCGGCTGCTCGCCGCCCTGCGCCCTCGCCGCGGCCTGGCCGGCGGCGCGCGGAGCCGCCGCCCGCCGGCGGGCCGCGGCGGCCGCGCGCCCCGCGGGGGCCGCGGCGGCGGAGGTCCCCGCCGCGCTGCCGTGCCCCCAGCGGGCCTCCGAGGGCGCGCAGCGAAAAATTCGAAAATCCCCCCGGCGGGCGTGCCCCCGGCGGGCCTCCGGGGGCGCGCAGCGTGCCCCCCGGCGGGCCTCCGGGGGCGCGCCTCCGGGGGCGCGCCGTGCCCCCGGCGGGCCTCCGGGGCGGGCCTCCGGGCCTCCGGGGCCTCCGGTGGGTCAGGTTCTGGAGTTCGAAAACGGTCGGAGGTCGATGGAGGTTCTGCCCTGACGCGTCGAGGAGCGACTTGGCCGTCTTCGGTTCGCGGGAGGGCGTCGCGGCCGTCATTTTTGCGGGTCCAGGGCCGTCGCTTTCGGCCCCAGGCCGTCGTTTTCACTAAAGGGCGGTTTCGTAAAGGGAGGTTTGTCCACCGCCGGAAAAAAAAACCAGAGGAGACTGTTGCTTGAATTCAGCAACCAGCGAAGGAAGCTTCTTGAGTTCAAGAACCAGAGGAGGAATAATAACCTAATTATAAGGGGAACAGTGCCCAAAACGGGGAGAACGAGCGAGGGGTAGAGGGTATACCTCTACCCTTCGCCCGTTCTCTCCTCCTTGGGCCTCCTGGGCGGCCCTCGCCACCACCGCCGGATTCGCCTTGAAGTTTTGGTCAGAACGCACCCCGGGGGAGGTCCGGGGAGGAGCGGTTTCGGTACCTCTGGGCTTCCCCAGGTGGGGCTTCCCCCGGGGCCACGTCCGAGCCCCGAGCCCCGAGCCCCGCCGAACGGCCCCTCGCGTTCGGTCGGGCATGTCCCCCTGCAGTCGGATTTTGGAGTGAAAACAAGGAATAGCCAAAAAGGCTTCAAACTGAAAACAAGACCTGAAGAAACCCGTCCCCAGAGAATTTTGTTGAACAGTTTTTGAATATTCCTACTGCAGAGGGACGTGCCCGATTTAACCCTCGCGGAGCTTCGCGCCGCGGGGGCCTCGTCCGTTCCCGCCGCTGCCGGTGCCTGGCCCCCCGTCCGAGGAGCGGCCCTGGCCCGAGGCGCTGCCGGCTTCTCCAGGGGGGCCAAGCCGGCCTCACGGGGTGCCCCTCTCACGAGTCGACCAGACGTAAGAGTGACCTTTCGCCGGAGTGACCTGAGGTGCGGGCCCCGCGGGGCCCCCCAATCGCCGAACGCGATGCGACGGCGGCGTCTTGCGCGCCTGTGTGTGGTCCCCTCGCGGCCCCAAAGAAGCTGCGCACCAAAGGTCACTCTCACCCAGGGTCACTCTTGCGTGTAGCCGAACGAGGCCCACGGGGCCCCAGAGGGCTCCAGAACGGCACGAAGAGCAGGGGGGGCACGTTGGGCCAGGGTGACCTCTGGCAACCTCCCACGGCCGTCGTCGTCCTCATCCTCCCACCCCCTTCTCCCCATCGTCGTCCTCCTCGCACGCGGCTGCTCTTTCCCCTCCTCCCCACTGTCCCGTTCTCCTCCTGCCGCTGCTGCTGCTTGTTCTCCTGATCCTTCCTCCCCCATCCGCCGCGCACCTTGTTCTGCACCTCCCTTCACATCTGGAGCGTTGGCTCCCAGCTACGGGGCGATATACTCGATCCGTCTTTCTCAGCTGGCATCAGATCCGGCTTCATTAGCGAGTCGCAGTCCAATCCTCCTGCTCTTCCCCCTTCTGCCCCTCATGGTCCTGCCTTTCGCATCGTGGGGTTGGCCAGGTTCGCGCCCACCAGGGACAAGAAGACCAAGGGAAATCAGACGACGGGCAAGGAATTGGGGGACACCAGCTATCCACCTGCAACGCCGATCCTGGCCAGACCCGCCTTGGGCACAGGATTTGCCTAGCAAGGATTGGCGTACTCAGACATCAGACGTTGTGAACAAACACGCGACGACGTGAAACAGGCGTGTTTTTATTGGTGTTCGAGCAGGACAGACCCAGTCGGCCAGGGCTCTGAATGGGGCGGACACGCCAGCCGTTTTTTTTTTTTTGTTTTTTTTGTTTGTTTGTTTGTTTGTTTGTTCCTTGTTGAACTTTCATTATTGAAGAATGATTATGGTTGATCCCCCCCCCTCTGGTGACCACTTTTTTGGTCAATTGACGTGCTTCCCCCGGGGCTCGCACCTTGTTTTTTGTCAGGGAAAGTCACTAGGCTCAAACTTCGTTGTTGGCCCCCGGATTGCAACAACAACGACTTCCGCCGGAGACTTCCTCACGGTTTAGCCAGGACCCCCGCTCCCGTCTGAGACATCCTCGCATTTTACTAAGAAATCGCGCTCTCGCTTGGGACTTCCTTGCAATTTATGCAGGAATCGCTCTCTCGGCGTCTGGAGTCGCGCTTTCGCTGGAGACTTGCTTGCAATTTGCTAGAGAATTTCGTTTTTACTCTGAATTTCCTTGCATTTTGCTTAAGCGCCACGCTCCCAACACTCAGGCACCCCGGAGTCGCGCTCACGCTTAGGACTCACTCACAGCTTATTAAGGAATCGGGATCTCGCTGCCTTTCGTGGCCCCGTTGCAGCCCTTCGTGGCTCCCTCGCTGCCTTTCATGAACCCGTTGTAGCCCCTCGTGGCCCCTTCACTGTCCTTCGTGGCCCCGTTGCAGCCCTTCGTGGCCCCCTCGCTGCCCTTCGTGGCCCCGTTGCAGCCCTTCGTGGCCCCTTCGCTGCCCTTCGTGGCCCCGTTGCAGCCCTTCGAGGCCCCCTCGTTGCCCTTTGTGGCCCCGTTGCAGCCTTCGTGCCCCCCTCGCTGCCCTTCGTGGCCCCGTTGCAGTCCTTCGTGGCCCCTCTCTGCCCTTCGTGGCCCTGTTGCAGCCCTTCGAGGCCCCCTCGATGCCCTTCGTGGTCCCTTTGCGCCCCTTCGTGCCCCCCTCGCTGCCCTTTGTGGCCCCGTTGCCGCCTTTCGTGGCCCCCTCGCTGCCCTTTGTGCCCCGTTGCTGCCCTCAGTGGCCCCGTCCTGGCCCTCTGCAGCCCCCTCTCGTTCGCGCCCGTCGTGGCCCCATATGTATTCGCTTCTTGGCCCCGCTGTCGCTCTTCGTGGCCCCCCCTTCGTTGCCCCGTTGCTGCTCTCAGTGGCCCCGTCCGGGCCTTCTGCGGCCCAATATACGTACGTATGCCCTTCGTGGAAGTAGTAGTAGTAGTAGTAGTAGTAGTAGTAGTAGTAGTAGTAGTAGTAGTAGTAGTAGTAGTAGTAGTAGTAGTAGTAGTAGTAGTAGTAGTAGTAGTAGTAGTAGTAGTAGTAGTAGTAGTAGTAGTAGTAGTAGTAGTAGTAGTAGTAGTAGTAGTAGTAGTAGTAGTAGTAGTAGTAGTAGTAGTAGTAGTAGTAGTAGTAGTAGTAGTAATAGTAGTAGTAGTGGTAGTAGTAGTAGTAGTAGTAGTAGTAGTAGTAGTAGTAGTAGTAGCAGTAGTGGTGTAGTAGTAGTAGTAGTAGTAGTAGTAGTAGTAGTAGTAGTAGTAGCAGTAGTAGTAGTAGTAGTAGTAGTAGTAGTAGTAGTAGTAGTA